GTTCAATTCCCAGCCCAAGCTGAGCAGCTGCTGAGCTGCCAACAGGTGGCAGGATGGCTCAGCTTAAAAAGAGAAAAACAAAATTCCTTGGAAGACAGATATACACAGTGTGCGTGGTAGGTAGCACCAGGCCTTCTAACTCCGGACCAAACGAGCAGTTTACATAGAAAGCATCATTTCAACAATTCTAGAGATATTTGCATAGCTTTGGGGGGCTACTTTAGACATTCAAGATAAACCCATTTTCGTCAACTCATGTTCTTTAATCAAAACGTCTCTTGCTTAATTCAAGATATTATTGAATACAGCTATGTGCTAACCATTATCCCAGTCCCTAAGAAGTACCTTGGTGACCTAGTCCCTATTTTCAAGGAGTTCACATATTTTCTTTCAGAGGTGGACTGATAGGTTGTGTCGTCCTATTGTTGAAGGATAATGGGAAGAGACGTGGATTTGCTCTGTCAAGAGTGACACCCACCATACACCACTCACCAGTTATGTGCTGTTGGGTTAGATGATAACCTCTTCACCTGTCAAAACCATGTTGACTGATCTCACTTTCTGTTCATACTGCTTTTATCAAGGGAGCTCTGAGGACCACCCTTAACCCTACAATATATTCCTAGCTCATTCACTCTCAAGTCTGAGATGACTATTCCATACCTTCACTTTCCTTAAAACTCCACTCTCATCCTCAGCTGAAATTCTTGCTTTCTATTTCACTGAGAAAGGAGGATAAAACAGAAAAAAATATTCCAAAGCTCCTACCCCAGACTCTCTGGCCTGCCTGCAGCTGTTCCTACATATTCTGACTTCGCTTCTAGTACCCTACTGGAGGCCCCCTCCCACCCCATCTCCTTTTTACCCCCGAAGGACATTTATCTGGAAATTCTCTACTCTCTCTTTCATGCATCATCAATTTTCTCCCTCCCTTGGATGTCCTCTAGATACTTGCTATAACATCTTTAATTTTAAAATGAAAGCACTTTATCCTGCATACCCTTTCAGTTGCTGCCCATTTCTCTGTTTCCTTCTATAGCAAAATCCACAAGATGTATCTATATTCCAATTCTATATCTTTATTTCCTGTCTTCCCATTTTTATTTACCACCCCCCTTTTTTAGGATTTTTTTTCCCCTAATACAGTCCCAAATCACTCTTCACAGAGTCACCATAGACTTCCATGATGACAAATCCGACGGATGAATGATCACTTCTCATTTTTACCCCAGTTCAGTACTCCTTCCTCTTTGAAAACTTTCCTCATTTGGTATTGAGCCAATTTCTCTCTCTACCAAAGTGGCTACTATGGCCCTTTCTTTTTCAATGGCTCTACCTGTTTTCCTTACATCTAAATTTCAGAACAACCCAGGACTCAGCCCTAAGACTTCTTCTTTTCTTTATGTATGATTATTCCCTAGATAATTCCATCCAGTCTCTTGGCTAATAAGACCCAAATTTATGTTTCCAGTCAAGACGTTTCACTTGAGCTCCAGACTTATATATTCAACAACCTACTGAGCATCTCCGCTTGACTGTCTAATAGTCATTTCAAACTTGTCCACAGCTGAACTCTTGTATTTCCTACCAAACCTATTTCTTTCAGCCTTTCCAGTCTTAGTAAATGGCAACCTTGTCTTTCTAATTGCTTAGGCCAAAAATATTGAAGTCATCTTTGACTTCTCTCATTCTCTTACGCTATATGTCAGTCAATTCTGGTGGCTTTACCTTAGAAATATATCCCGAATCTGAGCATTTCTTACAACCCCCACTGCTTTCATATTGACTCATGCCACTATCTTCTGGATTACTGTTAGTCTTCTGACTTGTTGCCTTGCTTTTGCTCTTGGTCTCCCACAATCTATTTTCCTGTAAAAATGCAAGTCGGATTATGTCACTCTTCTTTAAATCCCCTCCTGGATGCCAATCTCTCTGAAAGCCTGAACTGAAGTCTTTTTGCTTGTTTATTCAGCCTAACATGTCCCCCCTTCTCCATCTCCTACCGCTTTTCTTCTTCCTCCAGTCCCTTCCAAGCACCCTGCCCTTGAACATTCCAGGCATGCCCCTGCCTTGCAGCCTTTACTCTTGCTTTCTCCTCTGTCTATAGTGTTTTTCCTCCAGATATCCCCATGGCTCATTCCCTGGTTTCCTTCCAATCAAATTACACCTTACTGGTGAGGCCTTCCTTAATGACCCTATATAGCACTCTTCCACAAACACATATGCTGCTTATAATTTTTAGCTTGTTTTATTTTTTTCTCTATAGATCTTATCCTTACCATGTACTTATCTATTTGTGTATTAACTATATCTCACAGTAGAGTACACTCTATGAGATCAGAGATGTGACTCACCGTTTTGCACAGTTTTACAACTGGGCATAGAACAGTGCCTGACTTCTATTAGGCATTCAATAGATGTTTGTGGGATGAATGAATCTATAAAATGGAGATAATACAGCAAAGGTGAAGTGAGGATAAAATAATATACTGTATATCAGCCTACTTAAAAAAACCTACAGGACAATAATCTGTTGGTTTTTATTGTTTCTTAGATTCTAAATGATTGTGGAATATGCTAAATAATTCTCATTGATGGTCCAACTCTGCTTTGTGGAAATCAGAGATGGCATGTCTCAAAATGGAGAATATTCCTCTAAATAGAAACAGAAACTGCGAGCCAAGAACTGGTCTACATCTGTAAGGCAGGGGGGAAAAAAAAAGCAAAAAAAAAGCTGTTGGATTTTCTTTTTTTATTTTTTAACATATTCCCCATACAGAGATAAAAATAGTGTCAGTTTTGAACTTGAAGGATGACATTACATGTGCAATAGCACATTTTTCATTTTTCATGTATAATTTTGACAATTATGATGTTAAATATATTTTTAACCTATAGATTTGCATTAATACTGAGTTTTTAACTTTCTCTTCAGTGGCACTTAAATTTTGTACTTTTAACTTCATATTTGATTTCCTTTAAGTTCTAGCAGAGAAGTTAGAAGGAAAACACACACACACACACACACACACACACACACACAATTTAGGAAATAGACATTTGGAGATTTTATTGTCAAATGGCTCCACTAATATAGGCTTTTGAAAGCAATATATTGGTCTACATTTGTTCTAAACACTCCTTTTAGTTCCTATGTGGGGCTTCTGATAAGAAATCATGTTCCAGGTGACACATTAGCCTCCTATAAGGCGTCTTCCTTGTTGCTCTGACCCAGATAGTTCTAGGAGCTCTTTTCCCCAAATCTGAACCCTAAACTGAAACTCTGTTTTTTTCATACTATCATTATGGTAAATATTATATTGATTTTTTTTTTTGTAAAGACAAAGTTTCTTATATGTTGATTTACTCATAGGGTCAGCAAACTTTGAGATGCTGAACCTGTGCCAGGCATTGTCCTGGGGCTATAGGTGCAAAGATGTGTGAGACATGGTATCCTTGACTTGATCTCTTCATTAGGCTATGAGTTCTTTGAAGTTCAGTGACTGAGGCTCTTATTTTTGTCTGGTGATAGCACAACACTAAATAAATACATGTATGCAGAATGCATGAATGTGTGAGTCTCCTGGTCAGAGCAGGAGTTTCTCGGGACAGGTAGAATCTGTGTCTACACTGCTCAATGCAATGCCTGGCATAGAATGAAAGCTCAGCAGGTAAATAATGAGCAACCTAGGGGGCATCATCTGCCCTGGTATCTGGGACAGGCCAACATTAAAATAAGTACCCAAGAAGAGAATCTGTGAGCCCCTTGGCTCAAATTAGGCCTCTAACCAGTGCTTCTCTGGAGGCCCTCTTCTGTGCATGCATTTGTCTAGAAACGAGCAGAGGAAGACTCTGGATGGATTACGTCTTGTGTGCCAGGGCTTGACTAGTTGCCCAGATGGTACTGAGCCTCATGGAGAAAGGATCACATTTGAGGGCTGATGCTTTAAAGCAGTTCCCTGGCAGACCTTGATCTCAAGTCCGTGACACATGAAATTGTTGAAATTTGGGGCACATTCGGTGCCTGTGCCACTTGTCAAAATATTTCGGGATGTCATCTCCAGGTGGGTGAAAAAAAATTGGAAAGTTAATTGGCTATTTCCTGACTGAAGCCTGGAAAGGGAACTCCTCAGGAAGTGCTTCCCGGCATGTACCCATTTTCAGATATCAGTCATTTTTAATTAAAGCTGTTTTGATCTCATATGGCATATTTAATCACCAGTTCTCTGACTAGTCAGTCAAGACAAACCCATGTTGTCTCTTACCAGAGCCAGGAAAGACACTGTGATTTCTTCGTGTGTTGAATGGAATCCTAAATCTTTGCAAGGCGTCTAAGCTCTTTGAGATTCAGGCTGTATCTTATTCATTCGTGTCTCTCCAGTTATACCATATGTTCTTCATGACACATGGTAAACAGTCATTACTACTTTGATGAAATATTGACCAACAGCCCAAATGTATGAATGAATAGATTTATTTACTGGAAGATTGGAGACCACCAGCGGAGGGGTACTCTAAATAAAATTAAGTGGTAAGAGGTGTGGCTTTTCCTATATTCTCCTTGGTGTGATTTTCATTTTACAAATAGCTTGTGACTACATCATCCTTATAATATTAATGCATTACAGGTAAGGCCCCTTGACTAAAACACCTAATGATGCTTTCATTCTCAGAGATAGCCACTATTACCAGGTTGGTATGTGTTCTCTCAAACCTTGGTTTTTGCACGTCAGCGCATTGATGAGTAGACATTAGTGGGCCTACTTCCCCAAAGCATTTCTCTCTAGGCTTATTTGTTCATTTGTTTCTTCATTAATTAATCAGATTCATATATATACATATATGTACACACTACAGTTTTGTGTGTTTAACTTGTTTAAATAATGGCATAGTCTATTGGGATATTTTTTTGATGTTTTATTTTTCACTCAATGTGTTTTGAGATATTTCCATGTAAACACGGTTGGGTTTACTATATTATTATTATATTATTATTATTATTAGTTTTTATCTTTTTTCAACAAAAGGGAAACTGTATCGAAGCCCAGGGCCAAGAGGTTTGGGCAGAGGCCACCATGTGGGCCCGGGAGGTGGTGGAAGGGCCTTCCATATTTGACTTTATTCTTGGGGCATAGGTGGTTGGTGTGGCCAGACTTCTTAGGGCAGTTGACAGCACGGGGATTCAGGCGAGCGTAACACTTGTGGCAGGTCATCTTGTCGCGGTGGTACTTCTGGGCGAGCTGGCGGAGGGAAGTCTCAATGATGCCACCCCGCAGACGAAGCACCAAGTGCAGAGTGGACTCTTCCTGGATATTACCGTCTGAGAGAGCGCGGCGATCCTCCGGCTGCTTGCCGGCAAAAAACAGATGCTGCTGGACAGGTGGGGATGCCCTGCTTGTCTTGGATTTTAGCTTCGACATTCTCAGTGGTATCACTGGGCTCGACATCGAGTGTGATGGCCTTGCCTGCCAGGGTCTGCACAAAGATCTGCCTCTCCGGGTCTGCTGGGGAGGCTGCTCCGCCACCTCGTTGAAAACAAAGAGCTACATTATTTTGACTGAATCTATTCTATTCTAGTAACACAGCCATACCACACTTTACCTATTTCCTATTTAAAGATTTGGATTTCTTTAAGTTTTCACAGATTCAAGGAATAATGCAATCAACATCCTTAGACACACATCCTTACGTATTTGGATTAGTCTTTTTATACCTAGAACGAGAATTGTTAGGTTCCTGAGTATTTACATTTAAACTTTTCAGAGAGAATACCCAAGTTACCCTGTGAAGTAGCTTTACCAATTTACATTCTCACTAACAGTGTGAAACAATATTATTTCCTCATACCTTTGCCACTATTTTATGTTATAAAAAATTTTAATTTTTGCACATCTGATTAGATAAAGTGACATCCATGTTAGGTTTATTTTGCATATCTCAGGTCACTCCTTGTGTGTAAGGTTGAACATCCTCATGCATTTATTGCCTACTTCTATTTTCTCTTCCTTATGTTGCCTGTCTCCCTTTCTAGTTCTAACTTGATAAACAATGGAAAGTGGGGTATGGTAACCTCAGTGAGGGTTAATTAGGCTTAATCTACCTTCAGTTAGAGCCTACTTCCACAAGGCATTTCTCTCTAGGCTTATTTGTTCATTTGTTGCTTCATTCATTAATCAGGTTCAAACTGAGGACATACTATGTGTCAAGCATGTACTGGCTCTGGGGATATGATAGCGAGCAACCGTGGTTTCTCCACTCAAAGCTACAATTAGAGGATAATATCTGCCAGTGGCTCAAGCCCCTTCTGACATTCCATTAGCATTTATCACAGCATAATCACTAGCTTTTGCAAACCTATATTTGCTTTTTTCACTTTTCTGCAAAAGAAGACTCGATGTCCAATATTCTTCTATCATTAACAGAAATGTCCTTCTGTTTGTGGCCCAAGGTTGTTCAGAAATATGTATGTAGGATGAATCCTTTGTTAGTAGCTAAGTTCCCAGCTACTGTGAAGCTACAAAATAAAAGGAAGGGGTGGTTACATATCTCATAATTCTAGCCTGTGTCCTTATGGGATTAGTTTCTACCCTGCTAATCATGCATAAGGCAAGCAGTTACTTCCTGATTTTAGGCACCTGCTGATTCACTGGCAGAGTGTTTCAAATGGGTGCTGCACAAAGGCTTGGAAAGTGGTGAAAGCATTCTTTTTTTTTTTTTAAGATTTTATTGGGGAATTGGGGGGAGGGGTACAGCATTGGGGAATCAGAGGAGGGGAACAGACAGGTAGACAAATTGCTGTTTTTGTTCTTCTGTCTAGTTGTGAAGGATGTTGCTTCACTGGCCCATGTTGGTATGATCATTGTGCTGTTCCTGGGTGAGGCAGATCAGTCGCCGGTCATTGGTCGGCTGTTCACAGCAGCTCACAGCAGCTCACACCGGTTTCCGGCCACTCACGCTGGCTGCCAGCCACTCACGTAGCTCACGGCAGCCCACTGCAGCCCCGCTGCAGCCTACGCTGATGCCGGCGACTCACAGCAGCCCAGCTCGGTTGAGCTGTTGTTCATCATCTTAGCTGTAGAAGGCAAGCATCACTGGCCCTCATGTGGGATGTGAACTGGGGCCCTGTTGCTCAGAGCTGGTGCTCCCAAGTGAGCTCTTAACCAGCTGAGCCACTCGGCTGGCCCGAAAGCATTCTTGATAATTAAAGTGTTCAAACCTAAAGGGACCCAAAGATCCAACTTCCTAAAACGTCACCAAGAATATTCTGTGCCAGAAAGACTTAATGTAGCATTTAGCTTAGTCCCACTGATGTTTATTGAATGCCATGTTGCATATCAGAGCATGGACAGGAGATATGACTCAAAGCGGATTTACAAGTGGTGCTAGTGGGAGGCAGAAAGCAAACAGATCAAAATGGATATAAAGACAAGAACAAAATGTCCACTACCACCATTCATGATCAGGAACTCTGGTAAGAGTTTTTTCTGCATTTACTGGTGTGATCATGGTGACTTTGTAAGGTGGATATTGATATTCCAATTTTCCAGTTGAGAAAAATGAACTTGAAAAAGGTTAAGAACTTGCTAAAGGATATATAGCTACTCAATGTCTAAATGAGCTTTTAATGCAGGTCCACTTGGTTTCATTGCCTGGCTTCTTCCTCTGGGCCATTGCTGGTGAAGCTGAAAGTCTGCCATTGATGCCACCATTAGAGAGGAGACAAGGGGCTCCTTGGAGTGACCTGGCAGAGAATTCCTTATGTTTTCACAGTGCTGTGTCCTCTAAGGCTGTGACCCCACACAGGATGTGGAAGAAGGGGTTCAAGGACCTGTCTGCAGTCTTCATGAATATATCAATTATTGATCCATGTTATATTAATAATGCAAAGGGAAATAAATCACTTTTTCAATTTAGAAAGAAATATGTTTACTTCATACAGCTATGATAAATTTGTTTTTCTGGCCACCTTCACTCCTTATGTTTTAGTAGAAGAATACAAGTGTTAGTATCTAATAAGTATCTTTGTTTTCATTCCAAAAGGAAAAAAAACACTCTAATTTTTGACATTCATTTGAAATGAATGTTCTCATTTTGAATGCATTAGGCTGTTGATTGTTCTGTGCCCTAATGGGACATGAGACCTTTGTGACCAGTCATCCAGAATATCTGTAGATACTATCAAATGATGAAATGTCATGTATATGAATGGCTGATCAATTTTCTTAGCTAAATTTGTACATGACATTTACTGATATGTTGCTAAGGAAAACCACTGGCAACATAGAGACTTTGATCTTTGCAACAGTGTGTCTATTAAAAGCATGGACTTTGGAATTCCACAGACTTGCGTTTGTATTCTGCCTCTTCTATGAGCTAGTACAAATCACTTAATATCACCAAACCTTAATTTCCTCATTGCAAAATGCGATGATATTTCGAGCTATTTCATAGGCTACTGTGAGGTTTAAATGAAGTAATACATATAGATAATTGTAGATAGAGCCCTTGGCAAGAAGGCTATACTCAGTACATGTTAGCCATTATTATTATTATTATTATTTAAGAAATTAACTAAAGAGTAGTGTTTCTTAAAATATAGTCACTAAAGTCCCTGTGCCAGGATTCGTAGAATATTTGTCCACAAATTTAGATTCATGAGTGCCAGTCAAACCTCTTGATTCAGAATTTCTTTGAGGGGAAGGTGAGCATAGAATTTGTACAGTAGCACTCATTCATAGAGCCCACGCCCAACAATGTTTGAGAACCATGGCCACAGGCAGAGTGGGGAAGGTGGTGATGCCTTATGCTTTGGTTCAGCCCCATTTATGAGTGACTGTCATATGCCAGGACCTGCCATAGACACAATTGAATTGAATGAGAAGGCCCATTTTGTAAATTAAAATACAAGAGAACAGTCACTCTTGTTTCTATAGCAGGTACAGTTGTCACTCTGGGGACAATGAGCTGAAGAGGGAATGTAGATAATTGTACAACATGTTTTATTGGAAATTCACAAATGCTTGCATATCCATCTTTGAGTGATATAGGGATGCTAAAGTTAAATGCCTTCCCACTCCGTATTTTGTTCTGGCATGGACATAATTGTGTGGAAAGGTAATTTTCATCTGTTTGGTGGAATTGCATAAACACAGGGCAGGATGACTTTCGTTTCTTTTTAGAAATGAAATTTTAGAGAAACATTTTCCATTTCTATATAAAGGAGAGAGATTTAAGGAGAGTTAACGCAATGCTTTGGCTTCAAGGCTTAGTCCAGTCTATTCCAATCACAGGAAATTCTAGAACTTAAATTGCTTTTGAAACTAGACTTTAAGGCATGTTTCTTCCCTAGAGTGCCTGATTTTTTCAAGTTACAAAGATCAGTTTTTTCTGTTTGAAAAAAATATCTGAGTTTTTTCCCTGTAGTAGAGACACACAGTAAAATTTTCAACTGTTGACTTTCATATAATTTGTAACAATGATTTGGCATGTCCATGAATGTCATCAATGAAGCATTGGCACATTTTCAGAGAAGGTAAGTTTTGGATCCCATAAGAACAAGATGCATCCAATTCTTGAGATGTCTGTCATCTTGTCACTTTCGAATAACAGTTACATTTATTTGTCATGTTACTATCTGTAAAGTAATTTTCCACACATCACATTTGGTCTTCATAATAGTTATTTTAATTGATTCACAGTCAAGTTTGCTTTACCTTTGGGACATTTTGCCTGGCCTGGCTTGAAGTCAACCTGTAAAACCAGGGTAATTCCCACCCCAGTGCCTATATAATTCTAATAGGCATTATTATTTTTTTTTATATTCCCACCTTGGGCTGTGATAGACCATGAAGGTCTATTTTCCAAGTCTGGAAATATGGCATTAGGAGAGATGAAGTTAAGAATGTAGCAGATTCCTGCCCTCAATGGCTGAGTGACTAATGTGCTAAACAGTGTTCTGAAAGCTTGATACAGATTAACTCATTTAAACCAATGCAACAAATATGTGCATTAGGTATTATTATGGCCATTTTACAAATAAGGACACTAAGTCACAGAGAAATCAGGTAATTTACCCCAAATCACACTGCTAAAACACGGGAGTGCTAAGGTTTGATCTCAGGCAGACAGGCTCCGGGTTCCATGCTCTTATCTGCTTTTTGTGGTCCTCTTCAACCTGGTTTTGAAGGAAGACAATTTCCCAGGAACCCAAATACCAACATGAAAATAAAACATGATAACACTGTGAAAAATTTCACAAAACAAAAGCCGTAAGTGCTGTGAGACTTTAGACGAGGGAAAACAGCTTGGACAAGACCAGTCACAGTGGGCTCGTGGAAGAGGTGGGAGAGGATCTGTCCCCTGGAGGATGAAGAGGGAGCAATTATACACAGCACAGTAGGGTGCAGGGAAGGAGTGCCATCTTTGTAGTAAAACTGACCTGGGTTCAATTTCCAGCTCCTAAGCGTAGCTACGGGATCTTTGGCAAATAGCCTCCGTTTTCTCATCTACAAAATATTAATGATAG